ATAGACACCCTCTTAAATATTTAGTAGTTGAAAATTGAGATTATCTTAGATTCCACAAGTTGTTCTGTTTAGAACAGATTTATCTTTGGAGAGAATTTCTATGATATCCTCCTAGGTATGATAGCTTGGCAAAAAAAATTAAAATATTGTATTTAAATAAAATAATTATGCATTTAATGTTGTTTCGTAAAAAATTACACATCTACTGCACAATGTGCAACAGATGTGTAATTTTTAACAAAATAACATTAAATACGTAATTATTTTAATTAATTACATTATTTTAATTTTTTTGCCATGATAGCTTAGTTAAGCATTTGAAAGAGTATTAAATCTAACTAGTAGTCAATAAAAGTATTTAAATCACCAAACATATAGATTAACCGGTGAAAATCGTTCCAATTTAATAAATGATTTCGAATTCAATATCTAAGTATATAATTATAAGAGTTTTATTTCCCCGTATACCATAAAGAGAGATGCCAATCTTTGATTGATCCAATGTCCAATCAATTGTTTATTATTTAGCACTGTCATCCTGGCACGCACTAACAGTAGTCCACCTTCTCCTGCTTTCATAATCATAACCTACCAAGTACCCCTATTCAATTTAAATTATTATTTTTCTTATTATGGTTGATGTATCCAATTCAATGAATAACCAATCAAAACGAAGTAGTTCAAATGTTCAACAACCCCACAATTATATTTCTTATTGGGTAGCAATTTAATTTTTATATGTAGAGGTTTAAAGTTTTTGTTTCATATATATATATATATATATATATATATATATATATATATATATATGAGGCAGGATATTCTTACACTGGTGTAAGAGTTAGAAGTTTTACATTCAATCTTGACCATTGATCCACTTGTATCCAATGGCTCACATTACTAAAAAATTAGAGCCTTTAGATATAAGTGAGATCAATGGACAAGATTGAGAGTGTAACTTACACTGGTGTAAAATGATCTAACCCTATATATATATATATATATATATATATATATATATATATATTTAATAATGTGAGCCATTAGATACAAGTGAATCAATGATCAAGATTGAGTGTAGAACTTCTAACTCTTATACTGGTGTAAGAATATCCTGTCCCTATATATATATATATATATATATGGAACTCGTGTGAGGTCATATGTGAAAAAAAGAGAAAAAAAAAATAAGACTCCATATATTTTTACGTGTGTAAAAGATAAAATCATATCTTATAACATAAGAAACTTGTAACCTTATATTTATGGTTTAAAGTTTCTTATGTTTTAGGAAATAAAATTATCTCATGCAATCTTTCTCTTTGTTTCTCTTCTCTTCATACGACCTCAGATAGACCCTACACATTTTTATGTATGTATAGAAAATAATTTTATCTTCTATAACATAAGAAACTTCAAACCTATATATATATATATATATATATATATATATATATATATATATATATATAAAACATATTTTTCAAGCAGTTTGAGATAAGTTTAACTCCGGCTACCCAAAACTACGTCGTTTTATTTATTTATTTTTTTATATTAATTGATTCACCTTTGAATGATTACGATTTCTTTTTTCTCTCTCTTTCTTTATCACCATTGATCCATCTTTGTATGGTTATGATTTAGTAGCCGGATATAAAGTTATATCTGGCAGCTTGAGAAACGATAAGCCATACATATATATATATATATATATATATGGGCAGGATCATATTACACCGGTATAATAATAATAAATTTTATATTAAATCTTAACATTGATTTTGATGAATCTGATAGTTGTGATTTATTGGGTTACATTAATTAATTAATAATTTCTAATAAATTATAATCGTTAGATTGATGGAAATCAATAATTAAGATTTTGTATAGGGGTAAACATTTCTGCATTCACTTTAGATAAGCTTATCTATAGCTACCGGGAGAACATAGTTATAACATTAAAGTTGCTTTTTTCTCTCTCTCCACGCCAGCAGACAGGTTCTGAAAAGTAAATGAGTAGAGAGAAAAAAAGTAACTTCGTTCTCTCGGGAGAACATAGTTATAAACGATAGCTGTAAATAAGCTTATCTAAAGTGGCTGTAGAAATATTTTTGCCTTTTGTATAAGACGTATTATTCTTACACTAGTGTAAATTGATCTTATACACATATATAAGGATATAATAAATTTACACCGGTATAAAAATAATAAATGTTACATCAAATTTTAACTGTTGATTTTATTTATTTAATAATTAAAAGTTATTGGCTACCACTCATAATTAATTATTATATGTATATATATAAAAGATTAAAAGCGTGAAAACCCCCATTGGAAACTGCACCCAAACCACGAGCAATGTTGTTAATATTTATTTATATGACATCTTGGAATTATCTTCAACGATCTTCCACAATGTTCGATAGAAATTAGGGAGCGTTTTTACAAATTCTATTTACAAATATTTTATTTATAAATTCTTATAAATTACAATATGTATTTATATGAATATATTCATAACAGAATCTATTGCCAAAAATACATAATTGAATTTGTAAAAAATTATAAATAAAAAATTTATGAAGATAACTTTTCCAACAAAAATAGTTGTACTTTTGTTTGTTTAGTTTTGAAAATTTATAGATCAATGTATTTATTTGAAAAATGTGTGTATTATTTTAAAAGATGTCAAATTATATCATTTTAAGTGAAAAAAAAAAGATAAATCAAGAGAAAAGAGAATGAAAAAATAATAAATATGTGAATTCTACTTCTTTATGAGAGTAAAATAACATAAATATATCATTTAAAAAAATAAATATTTTTTCCTATTTATAATAACTGAATTTGGTAAAAGAATGAAAGTTACAACTTAAAAAGAATATATTGCATACAAGCTGGCAGTGCACATAAAACCCTTTATGTATATATCAAAAAGTTGTTGGGGGCGCAAAAAACGAAGAACCTAACAGGTAAGGACATCCATGACTGAGTTTAAAATTGTACATAAGCTAATGCTAAAGACAAAAGCTCATTTTAATGATATTTTTTAAGATTTATTTTTTCTAAAGTTATTTTAGATAATTTTATCTAATATTTACCGAAATGATGTCATTTTGGGGTGAAAATTATGATATTTTTATAATTTTAATTATTTCAGGGTTATAATAGTCTTTATCATTCTAATATTTTAATTTTTTAACCTCAAAACGATATTATTTCGATGAACATTAAATAAAGTTGTCTAAAGTAATATCAGATACTTTTTGCCTATTTTTTATGCAAATAAATTTTAAAATATTCAATTCAGAATTACATATTTAAGGGAGGCAACAAGTCTGTTCCACTCAAATGTACCAACTAAATTCGTAAAAATGAAAAAAAAAAGTTTAGATATTTAGTGATAAAAGTTAACCGGCAGTATAATTTGTAGAATTGTGTAGTTAATTATATATTTGGTAACATGTTAATTATATTATTTTAATGCTACATTTGAAAGCAAATTTTTTCAAATGCTTACCTTTATAATTATATTTTTTTTATTGATGATTAAATCTCTTGTAATTATATATTTTTTTATTCCGTGACCTAATTATGTCCTTAGGTTAAATATATTTTGCGAGTATTCCACAATCCAAGTGCGAAAAGGATATATATATATATATATAGGGTCAGGATCATTTTACACTAGTGTAAGTTACACTCTCAATCTTGTCCGTTGATTCCACTTATATCTAAGGGTTCTAATTTTTTAGTAATGTGAGCCATTGGATACAAGTGGATCAATGGTTAAGATTGAGTATAAGACTTCTAACTCTTACACCGGTGTAAGAATATCTTTTTTTTTTTTACACCGGTGTAAGAATAATAAATCTTACACTCAATCGATTTTAATTAATTGGATCATTCTTATTATCTAGTTATTAATTTTCAATAAATTATAAGTGTTACATATCGAAAATCAACGATTAAGATTTAGTGTAAGATCTATTATGCTTACGATAAAACGATTTTGTCACGCACAAAAAATTATAACCGTTAAATATCGAAAATCAACGGTTAATATTTAGTGTAAGATCCACTGTTGTAAAACCCAACCAGGTCAACCCGGAACCCAGCGAACCGGTCATCGGACCGGTTCGGGTCAAGCACTGGACTGGCCATGCATTGACCCGGTCTAATCCGGACAAAACCGGCCAATCCCGGTCAAAATCGGTGATTCCCTTTTTCTCTCTCTTCCTTTATCACCATTGATCCATCTTTGTACGGTTATGATTTAGGAGCCGGAGATAAAGTTATCTCCGGCAGCTTGAGAAATGATAAGCCCATATATATATATATATATATATATATATATATATATGAGTTTACATATGAGTAAAGATCATTTTACACCAGTGTAAGTTATACTCTTAATCTTATCCGTTAAGATCACTTATATCTAAGAGCTCAAATTTTTTAGTAACGTGAGGCATTGGATCCAAGTAGATCAATGGTTAAGATTGAATGTGAGACTTTTAACTCTTACACCGGTGTAAGAATATCCTGGATATATATGGCAAGTATTTGATTGTTGCACGTCCAGTAGCTGCATAAATATAATCCCATACATATATATATGTACCGTTGGAATCTATAAGCCCACTATGTTCCCTTTGGAAGAGGTTGTCACTATATGAATGATACCACTAGCTTAGATAAAAGATCACGCTAGATGGTATGATTCCAAGTATAACAAGTTACCAACAATGAAGGAACTTTTTTTCGAGATTATTTTCGAGTTGAGTGAACTTTTTTACTATTTATCTTATGTGTACTCATATTGGCATTTGAGCCTAGCCTTGGCATTATCTCTTATTATTGTATTAGTTCCAAGGCACTAATTCTTACCCTAATTTAAATTAGAAAATAAGCGAAACAGCTTGGTTAGCTCCTAAAATTGGGAATGTCAAAAAGTCCAATTCCTAACAGTTATGAATGAAGACCCAAACTAGTGGCGCTTCAAGCAGAGGAGCCCGCTTCCACAGTTAGACCCTATTCCCTCGTCTCTTCTTCCATTCCATTGTAACTCCTATCATAGCACATACACACGCACAAGAATGACACAGAAACTTTTGTCTTTCTCTTCTCTGTGAACAACCACAGCTACTACACTGAGTGGATATTGGGTGCCTTGACACTATCAAAATGAGATCTTTTTGAGTATTTCTGTGCTATGTTTTGTAGTTTTGAATACCCTTTTGTCTCTTGTCAATTGGGTTTTCAACATATTGGCAAATTGTCATCTATGCAACTAATAATCATTCATGACATCTGTGTTTGGTAATGTAAACGAGTGGTGGATTGTGCCACTAATCTCATCTCTGCAACTAATTACTTATAAAGGTTCTATTTTGGAATCATGATCTTAATCTCTAGCATTTGAAAATTTAACTGTGGTTATGGTTGGTTCAAATAGAGAAGGGAAGGGTGATATCGAAGTGTTGAATTAATGCTTGGTGTAGTACTATTACAATGGCTGAGAGAGATGTTTCTTCTTCTTCTTCTTCCCTCAAGGTTGTTTCTAGAAAGTCATTAATTTTGTTCTTCACAATGATATCGGTCCTGTTTATCATGTCTTGGTTCTTTGTTTTGCGTTCCACAGGTCGTCCTCATTTCATTGACCACAACTTGTTACCCAATTCAAAGCTTTTCTCTACCTTTGATGGTTCAAAGTCTCAGATGCAGACCCAAAATGTTGAATCCTCATTTGGGAACCGAGCAATCCTTGTGGATAGTAAAGAGGTGGAAGAGTCCAGTGAGAAGGAAAAACCTGAAAAAAGTGATGTTGGGAAATGCAGCAGAAATGATAAAGTGGTTCTGAAGGTTTTCATGTATGATTTACCATCAGAGTTTCATTTTGGACTCTTGGGTTGGAAAGCCAGTGGGAATAGTGTTTGGCCTGATATTAGAACTGTAATACCTGGTTACCCTGGAGGTTTGAATTTGCAACATAGTATAGAGTTTTGGCTTACATTGGACCTTCTTGCTTCAGAAATTACTCAAGCCTCCAAGGCTGGGACTGCAATTCGAGTTCGAAACTCCAGTGAAGCTGATATTATATTTGTACCATTCTTTTCATCTCTGAGCTATAATCAATACTCAAAACCTAATCCACAAGAAAAGAAGAAGACCAGGAACAAGATACTTCAAGAAAACTTAGTGAAGTATCTGACAGAACAAGAGGAATGGAAGAGATCAGGAGGAAAGGATCATTTGATTTTAGCCCACCATCCCAACAGTATGTTGGATGCAAGAATGAAGCTGTGGCCTGCTACATTCATACTTTCAGACTTTGGGAGATACCCTTCAAATATAGCCAATGTTGAAAAGGATGTGATTGCACCTTATAAACATATAATCAGCTCCTATGTCAATGATGACTCCACCTTTGATAGCCGTCCAACATTGCTGTACTTCCAAGGAGCAATATATAGAAAAGATGTATGGCACTCTTGCTCTTTAACATCTTGTTTTTTTCGCTTCTTTTAGCTTTTGAGGGAAGATATATCATTCAGCATTTACATCCAGAACTCCTTTAGAGACCACCCATGTCTTTTCTTTTCTATTTCAATTAAACAATGCGTAAAGAGGGCCAACAGGCATGGGAAGCCCTCCCTAAGACTAGTTGGCTCCCTATTCTTAAGGAGCCACTGGATATATAGGAATCTTAGATAAGTTATCTTTGATGACTTTGGATCCTTTGATGAGGGTCTGCTACATTTCTCCTTGTGCTCCCTCAAGGCTATTCAGTCATAGTATAGAGTATAATGAAGGAAGCAAGCGAGATAAGCTAAATTCGAGTAAATATGTGGTTCAACTTTTGAAATTGGTGAAACTTGAACCCGAGTTCCTTTGTACCCTAGTTGGTTGACCTCCAAGTTCATTGTCAAGATGTATGTTTTTGTTACATGCTGTTTGTCTGCTTCTCCATGTTTTGCACACATGTTAACGATCATATTTTTGCTTAATAAGTTTAATACAGTAAGATGGAACTTTTCCTAAGAATGCCTTTCTTTGTTGGGATTACTGGTACCATGTTAAGTGAATTTTATATATACATATTGGTCTGATGCAATATCAATATCCAGAAGAGTTTATTCCTTATTTGAAATGATGTTTTGGTCATCTTTGTTGCACAATGTTATGCAATTGTTTGATGGAGTGAGTTGTAAAGAAGAATTAAAGGGGGGTTGTGAAGTGTGATTTTAATGATATAACTAGAAAATCAATGTAGTTTGTCTTGTAAACAACCTGCATCATTATTTGTACGTGGGATTTAATTCCTGGTGAAATCAAATGCTATTCACTTGATTCTTTCGTGAAATTATCGGCAATTATTGTCTGGTGGCTTCTTATCTTTTGTAATATTAGTTCTTATTTTCTTTGCTTTGCTGTCAAGTTTGTTATGCTGTTATTCTCTATTGCTACTTATTTTTCTGTTAGGCTTTAGCACATTCTGTTAGAGCATGTGCATGTGCCCTTTTACATTAGTCATTTTTCCTCTTACTATTTTTCTTCAAGCTGATATATATATTCAGCCTTATTGTACTTTTTAATCAATCAAGTAAAGATGAATTTTCAGCTTCCTATCCTGCTTCTTTCGTAACTAACATGGTATCAGATGATTCCTTGTAGCCCTTGCCCATTTCCATGGCTCGTGGCAACAATAATCGCCCACCCCCTTCTGATCTTTCTGGCAACTCCGCCTCCATGGACGATCCCAGCAGTCCATATTTTCTACACAACAATGACCATCCTGGTTTGATTTTGGTTCCTCATCTTCTTTTCGGGTTCCAACTTCAACTCATGGCATCACGCCATGCTCCTTGCCTTGACTGCTAAAAATAAATTGGCCTTTGTTGATGGATCTATTCCTCGATCCCTTTCCTCTGATCTACTGTTCTCTGTTTGGAATCGTTGCAATTCCATGGTTATCTCTTGGATTTTAAACTCTGTTTCAAAGGACATTGCTGACAGTCTTTTATATTTTTCCAACGCTTATGATGTTTGGTCTGATTTGAAGACTAGATACTCACAGGCCAATGGTCTTCAGATCTTTCAACTCAAATAGCAGATTTCTTCTTTTTGTCAAGGTTTTCTTGAAGTTAATAGTTACTACACCAAGCTCAAATCCCTTTGGGATGAGCTACATGACTACGCTCCGCTTCCTCCATGTACATGCGGTGCCCTTCGTCATATCACAACTCATAGGGAACAAGATCATGTCCTCCAATTCCTCATTGGACTCAATGATTCTTTTTCCCCTTCACGAGCTCAGATTTTACTGCTTGACCTGCTACCACTGCTTGCCAAGGTTTTCTCTCTGATACTTCAGGAAGAACGTCAACGCCAACTATCGGTCTCCTTGCCTGCCCCTGCCATTCCGGATTCTCCCCTCTTAAACTCTGTCACCACCGTCACATCTCCTCCGTCTGTGGTAGCCACCACCCAACGCCGTTCACGGCCTATTTGCACCTACTGTAACCTATCTGGCCATACCCGTGAAAAATGCTTTAAGCTTCACGGGTATCCTCCTGGCTACAAGCCTAAAATACCAAAGCCCACTATTATGCCTACCCAAGCCCAGGCCCACTCTATTCTTGGGGTTCCTCCTAACCCAAGTCTTTCCCCCAATTCCAACAATCGGTTTAACACTAATTTTTCCTCTGCTGATACTCCGCTGGCCTTCACACCATCTCAGTACAACCAACTGCTCTTGCTCATCCAATAGAGTTCTGCATCATCATCACCCTCCGCCGCTCCTTCCGTTGTCGAGTCTTCTCCCTCGGTTGCCAGCTCTAGCGGTAAACCTCCTATTTCTTTCCCCCTTTCTTTTTGGGTTTTGGATACTGGTGCTACGCACGATGTTTGCGTCAATCTTGCTCTCTTTAAATCTTCTTCTCCTTCTAATTCTCGAGTCTTTTTTCCTAATGGTTTATCTGAAGTCGTTTCTTCTGTTGGTTCTGTTTCAATTTCTGATTCTCTTTCTCTTGTTGAAGTTCTTTATGTTCCTTCTTTTTTGTTCAATCTACTTTCCATCAGTGCTTTGACTCGTGACTCTCCTGTCATCGCTAATTTTTCTTCTTCTTTTTGTTTTCTTCAGGACCGATCTTCGGCAAGGATGATTGGGATTGCTAGACGTCATGGTGACCTTTACGTTCTAGATAGTTCCAATCTTTTTCCCACAGACACTGCCCCCCAACCCCTTTGTTTTTCAATTTCTATTAAAGATCCAGTTCTCTGGCATTCTAGACTAGGCCATCTTTCAATTCCTGTTTTAAATTCAATGAAATGTGTTTTGGGATTTTCTGAATGCTTGAATAGTAATCAGCATTGTTTTGTGTGTCCTTTGGCTAAGCAAAAACGCCTTCCGTTTATTTTAAACCCCAAACTCTCAGATTCTCCATTTGATATGGTTCACTGTGATATCTGGGGTCCCTTCAACACTCCATTTGTTGAAGGGTCACACTATTTCCTCACCTTAGTTGACGTTCAACTAGGTTTACTTGGACATACTTTCTTCGTACTAAGTCTGAATTCTCTACTGTTTTTCCTGCCTTTTACAACCTTGTTCACACTTAGTATAAAGTCTCCATCAAATCACTCCGCTGTGATAATGCTCCTGAGTTCCAATTGTCTTATTTCTTTTCTTCTTCCAACTCTTTCATTCCTATGTCGATCGTCCCAGCAGAACTCTGTTGTTGAGCGTAAGCACCAGCACCTCCTTAATGTTGCCCGTGCCCTACATTCTCAATCCCAGGTCCCTCTCCCATATTGGCAAGACTGTGTTGCTACTGCCGTTTATGTTATTAACAGGACCCCTTCACCTCTTTTATCCTCTAAATCTCCTTTCGAAATGCTTTGTCATAAACCACCATCTTATGCTCACCTTCGTGTGTTTGGGTGTCTCTGTTACAGTTCAACTCTCCCTAAAACTTGCTACAAATTTTCTCCCCGCGCCTACCTGCTATATGTCTTGGTTATCCAACCGGTTATAAAGGCTATAACTCCTTGATTTACAGTCAAATAAGACATATATTTCTCGTGATGTTGTGTTCTTTGAGCACTTTTTTCCCTTTGTTCTTCATCCTTCTTCACTTAATTTCTAGACTGAATTTTCTCACCTACCTCCCTCTTTTACAAGTCAGTCTGATTTATCACCTGCTTCTGTCCCTTCTCGAACCCAGAGAATTAGACATCCACCTGCCCATCTTTCTGACTATATTTGTTCCTCTTCAACAATTTACCCCTTATCTGATTCCCTCTCATATAACAAGTTATCCCCTTCTTATACAACCTTGGTCAATTCCATTTCTTCCCATTTTGAACCCACATCTTATTCACAGACCTCTCAATTACCGGAATGGCAGGACGCTATACAAGCTGAACTGTCTGCTCTTCAGCTCAACAATATATGGTCTATTGTCTCTCTTCCTCCAGGCAAGCAAGCCGTGGACTGCAGGTGGGTATACAAAGTCAAATACAACTCAGATGGCTCTCTTGAACGTTATAAAGCCCGTTTAGTTACTAAGGGTTTTACTCAACAAGAAGGGATCGATTTTTTGGACAGTTTTTCTCCTGTGGAGAAATTAACCACTGTCAGAGTTCTTCTAGCTTTAACAACCATTCACAATTGGTCACTTACTCAACTTGATGTCAACAATGCGTTTCTTCATGGTGAGCTGAATGAGGAAGTCTACATGCATTTACCTCCTAGTTATTGCTCTCAGCATCCCTCTCTACCACCCAATGCTGTTTGCCACCTTCACAAATCATTATATGGTCTGCGTCAAGCTTCTCGTCAGTGGTTTGCTAAATTTTCTTCCACCTTGCTGCATCTTGGTTTCTCACAGTCTCAATCTGATCATTCTTTGTTTGTTCGTGCATCCACCAGCTCTTTCATTGTTGTTCTTGTTTACGTTGATGATATCATTATTGCCTCTAACAATAACCAGGAAGTTCAGTTTTTTACAGAAGTGCTGCACAACAAGTTTAAATTAAAATATCTTGGTGCCTTGAAGTATTTTCTTGGTCTTGAAGTGGCCCGAAGTATCAAAGGCATCTCTATCTGTTAGAGGCACTATGCTTTGGAAATTCTAAAGGATTCTGGTAATATGGGATGGAAGCCTCGAACAAATCCCATGGATGTTGGCCTCAAACTTTCTTCTACTTCGGGTGATCTCATTCCTAACCCTTCTTTGTATAGAAGACTCATTGGCCGCTTGCTCTATTTAACAATCACTAGGCCTGACCTTTCCTATGCTGTCAATTTTCTGAGTCAGTTCATGGCCTCTCCTCGAGTGCCTCACATGCAAGCAGCTCATCGTCTCCTTGGTTATGTCAAGCATACAGTTGGGCAAGGTTTATGTTTCTCTTCATCTTCATCTATTCAACTCAATGCTTTCTGTGATTCTGACTGGGCTGCTTGCCCTGAGAGTCGTCGTTCCATTACTGGTTTTTGTGTTTTTATTGGAGATTCCCTGGTTTCATGGAAATCCAAGAAGCAGCACACTGTGTCCCGATCTTCCACTGAGGCTGAATACCGTTCCATGGCTAATGTTACATGTGAATTATTATGGCTGTTTGTCTTGTTTCAGGATCTTCATGTCTTGCATCCAAGTCCTGCTCACCTTTTTTGTGATAATTTATCTGTTCTTCATATCGCAGCAAACCCGGTTTTTCATGAACGCACAAAGCACATAGAGATTGATTGCCATCTTGTTCGTGAACACATCCTTAAAGGTCGTTTGAAGACATTTCCGGTTCCTTCTTCCAAGCAACTTGCTGATCTTCTCACCAAGCCTCTCCTGCCATCTAAGTTTTCTGTTTTACTTAACAAGATGGGAGTTCTGAACATTTACTCTCCATCTTGAGGGGGGCTATTAGCATATATGTTTTATTTTCTTTGCTTTGCTGTCAAGTTTGTTATGTTGTAATTCTCTATTGCTACTTATTTTTCTGTTAGGCTTTAGCACATTCTGTTAGAGCATGTGCATGTGCCCTTTTACATTAGTCATTTTTCCTCTTACTATTTTTCTTCAGGCTGATATATATATTCAGCCTTATTATACTTTTCAATTAATCAAGTAAAGATGAATATTCAGCTTCCTATCCTGCTTCTTTCCTAACTAACAGTTCTCAATCAATTACTTCCTCAGGTTGCATCATGTACAGAAGGCCTAAATTGTATATATGTTTGTACTTTTTCCCACGAAAAACAAAATAATATCCCATAGCTTTAGGGGGTAAGAAATGGGACAACCTAATGTCTTGGAGATGGTAGTTTTCATGGTTACTTACGTTAACTTATCCCCATCTTGATTTTGACTCTGACTACAATGCACACTTGATGCTTGTATCTTTTGATTTGATTAACAATATCTAGATGTTTTTCAGGTTCTAGTTTTTCTAAGTAGCATCCCCTTTTAAGTTCTTTGGTTCATCCAGAGTGAGGAGTTTTCCATATAAATATCTTATGTTTTTGAGGACACATTTGTCACATGCTCAGCTTGCGCTGAAGAAATTGGAAGCCCTTCATATGCTACTACGTCATCAAGTGTACTTAGGAAAGATCCAAGAAATGAATTGATATTACTTCATGCTGGTTACACTTAAGAGTTAGTTGTGTTGAGATTTGACTTTTCCAATTACCCTCATAGTTACTGCATAAATGAACCATTTCAGCTGGAAGGATTTTGATTCAAGTTTGCGGATGTTCTATGTCCATGTTATTGATAGTTCTGTCTAATCCCATGACATGCATAAAATCTAGAGAATCTTGTGCAGACAGTTTTCTTTAAATGGAATTGACATCACTTTTAGAAGCATGTTTGCTGGAAAGAGTTCAATATTCTGCAAATTCACCATTTGTTTCCTTTGCTTCTAATATATTTTTCTTTGAAAATTCATAGTATCTAACTTGAATTTTATTTTTTCCATGATCAGGGAGGTTATGTTCGGCAAGAGCTATATTATCTTTTAAAAGAAGAAAAGGATGTACATTTTTCATTTGGAAGTGTTCAGAAAGATGGAATTAAGAAAGCTACAGAAGGCATGCGTTCTTCCAAATTTTGCCTTAACATAGCTGGTGACACCCCTTCTTCAAACCGCTTGTTTGATGCCATTGCTAGTCACTGTGTCCCTGTTATCATCAGTGATGAAATTGAGCTCCCATATGAAGATGTCCTTGACTACTCAGAGTTCTGCATATTTGTTACTACAAGGGATGCTATCAAAGGAAATTATCTAATAAATTTCATTAGGAGTATTGGCAAAGATGAGTGGACCCGAATGAGGAACAAGTTGAAAGAGGTTAAACATTTCTTTGAATTTCAATTCCCATCTAAGGAGGGTGATGCTGTCCAAATGATTTGGCAGGCTGTTGCACGTAAAGTTCCTGCTATGAAGTTGAAGCTAAACAGGTCTAGGAGGTTTTATAGGTCCCCTCCAAGTACAGAGAAAGGACTAAAATCTATACCTGTACCAAGTAATTTTTGGTGAAAAAGATAACGATGTTATTTGAAGTTATGCACCTCACAGAGCCTTTGTATATGAAAAATGTCATAACGTTTTACCTTTACAAATGGGGTTTAGCGAGTGTTCTTTTAAAAGACACAAGTTTATCTCCTTATAGCAGTTTTTTAACTATGCATTCCAGGAAATGTATAGTTATAATGTTAAAGTTGTACTTTTTTTTTTTTTCTTTTCAGAAACTGTCTGTTGACGTGGAAAATGAAAAAAAGTACAATTTTAATATTATAATCATGTATTTCTTGGAATGTATAGTTAAAAATTGTTAAAAGGACATAAGTTTGTGTACTTTAAAAGGACACTCTTTTTTCCCTTACAAATGTTCTCATTTCTATACTGACATTTTAAGGTTCTTTCCTATTATAAAGTTTTCTCACTTGTGATTTTGATACTGACATTGTATCGTTCTTACCAGAAGTTTCATGATAGGAAAGAGAATTTAGGCTTTCAGATTCCATTTTTAGTTGGGGATATATAATTTAGATTTCTTTTGTATATGATTTGTTCAATGATGGGCCTCCAATGAAAGTTTATAAAAGAAGGGATCAGTATGGAAAGAAGCAAGTCCAAGTGAACCAGATCCAAGATGGAGGGAGGCAAGATGCTGTGAACGAAGGCAAAACCGTTATGGAAAGAGAAAAGGAGTCAGTTAGCCGATTGGACAGCTGGCAAGCTCTGAATGGTGAATTGGATGTGGGAGAGAATAGAAAGTGGGAAGGATAGTTTGTTGCATAAAGAGGGACGCATGACAGAGAAGAGGGCATTGAAGATGAATTATCAAGGAAAGGGGCGATTGTGAATTTTATGAGAGAGGGGGTTTTCTCTTGTAAAAGGAGCATGAGGAGTGTTATTTGAATTTAGTAGAAATTATGTGTTTCTGTAATTCCTTTATTTCAGTCTGAGTGTAATTCGAGTCTTGTTTGATGTTTACCATTTAAGTTCAGTGAGTTGTAAGGTGTACTGAGTTACTCTGTTATTTCCATTATTATTAATACAAGTGTGTTTCCTTTCATTGTTGCCTTTCCATTCATTCACAAGAAAATTGGTTCCATCATTCAACCAGTTATAAATAACAAGTAATATTTCACAACAGGTTCTAGCAACATGCCAGTCATAGAATTTGTATACTAGATGTGAAGAAGGGAGTTTTATCCTTTAGTTCTTACAACATTTCTTGGATTTGTATCGCTATCAGGTTGTTGTTACCATTTTCCCACAATGATAAAATTTTTAGACTTCCAAGACATTGAACTTACTTCCTCATTCCTCATGCCATTAAGATTGCTGGCACTGAACAATTACTCACACAAATTGCAAACAGAAAAAAGAGAAAAAGAAAGAAAGAATGGAAACACATACTTATCCCGATTCACCCAATGTACACTACGTCTAGTAATATTTAACTATATTCTTTCCACCGCACTCGTTACAAAGCATTCTATTTACAGGGAGAATATAAGTAGGTTAAGCAACCCTAAGCAACAGTAGCAACCCTATGTTCCGCCAATAAGAGTCATCATCGGAACGAAGTATGAGGCATATCCAACAAAGATCTCATATCCATTAGGTACTTGCTGTTGGGAGTAGAAATTAATTTTTATTAATTAGCACACATGGAAATATCAACAAATGGGAAGATATGTCACGTAGTAAGTAGTATTGAGGACTCATAGAAGGTGTCAAGGAATAAAAAGTAGCTGAAGTTGACGGATCTGAGGTTGTCTATAGGGAGTAACAGTGAAGTTGCTTTGGCTTTTGAAGGCAATATGCTCAAGATATATAATAGAAGACAGAGATATGACAATTTCCTAATGGGGTATTGAGGTGTACTACAAGAAGGTAGTACTAAAGCTATCTTGTGGACAATATTAAGGATGTCCTTGAAGGAACAATTTGGTCGACTAGAAAAAATTTCTGTTGACAAGGATTTAGTAAGGAGCTGGTAAAAAATGGTGCATAGCAACCAGCAATATTGATGTTGTTGTTTCGAGGAACCATTAATAAAGGGCTTGAAGCTCACTAATTGCCAGCTTTAGTCCTTATGTGCTCTCTTAGGCCCCAAATCCATGTAATTAAGTAGCCCAACTTATTGCGGAGCAGTTTGGTTGTATGTCTAGTTCTAAGTGACTCGATTGTTGTTTGGACCTGGGCTTGCTTGTTTTCTTTTCTGTTTTAAGTATCCCAGTTTGTACCCACTTGAAGGCCCTTATGGTCTCTCTTGCTTTGTGAATTGTGACCCAAAACAAAATTCTTTGGACTAGAGAAAGTTCAGTTACTAAATACTAACGTGATCCTAGAATACACTTTCAAGTTTCAACTTTACAATTTTATTAACCAATATAATTAGCCAAGTCTATCATTTAGATATACATATAAAAACTAGGGGAAATATTTTTTTTTTATGTTACATGAAAAATCGTATCTCATATCATATACACATCGAAATTCGAGGCAGTATTTTTTTTTCTTTTAATTGCGTAACCTACATAATTATGTCTCTACATAAGACAATGCTATCTCATGTAACATAAGAAAAAAATTGTCCAAAAACTAGTCTCAACTCAATTTATATATACATATAACCTTTATATATACTTATAAAGGTTTTTTTCACTAATCACAAATTGTTTTGCCTAGGAAAAGGCCCCAAATTTCGTTTATATGTGGAAAAGTTACATCAACTTAAGATTTGCTAGGAAAAGCTTATTCACAGAAAACACTGAAGTTTTGCACTCCAAAACATTTCATATATACTGTATATATCATGATTGAAAATCTGCACGTTTGAGTCATTAATTAAGGGTGTAAAATTACTTTCACACAAACAGTAATTAGCAGGTCAAAAGAAATTACGAGTCTAATCAATGTGGAACTCTTTTAACATTAACGAATTATCCATTACAGAAACTTTAAACCTAACATATATATTCTCCTGATTTTTCCTTTTCTATTATAACTTTTGGTAAGATTGGTTAAAAAAATCACTTTAGGGGGATTATAGATTGTAGGTTTTGATTTGGATTTATAATACAAGACAAAAAAGAACACATCTTTTAGATGCTTTGTTCTACTTGTGATCGTTTTTTATTTGCAACTTGTGCAAGCATGCACTCCCTTGTGTGTTCATTATTTTGATATAATCTTATTCTTAAACAACTGAAATCACGCTAATAATCATTGTAAAATGGTCACCTTTATGGATAGGCATTCTTTAGAATGGCTTTGCTTGAGTTAGAACATCTTTTCCTCAGGGTGAAAACGGGGTAATATGTCAGAATCTACTATTTGGAATGATTTGCAATATGAATCTTTGATTAACATTACAGCCAGCAAGAATTCCTGAATTTACAAGTCTAATCTTTGCATGGAAAAATATATACATCATATATGATTTTTTATGAACCAAGTTCATTCCGGAATATAGAGAAAGCAAGAAGGAAAACTACCATTAAACCATGACTCATGATGGAATCTCAAGAAGAATTGTTGTTTTCAAATTTACCTCACTTTTTTTTAGTCCTTTTATCATTATTGGGACCAGAGACTAGGGTCCAGTGGTACATAAAATATTTTGATCCTAACATAGGTTATTAATTTGGTGTAAGTTAAATTATAAACTTGCATGGTTGACCTGTATTTAAAAATTAAAATATCTTATCTAATTCTATTAGCTTATTTAAGCCTATTAGGCTTCAATACCTATCAAGAATTTTAAAAGAACATATATTTTATTATCTAAAATTATTTATATAAAATTTATTTATTTTATTTACAATAAATTATATAATATAGAATGAACTATAGACTTATTGGTTAGGTCCAATAAAAAAAGATCTATGACTTATTTTCTAAATCAGTTTTTTTAAAATAGAACCTGCTTTGTTTTATTGAATATATTAGGTCAAAAATCTAATATAGGAGGAGTTATAGGCCTTTGAAAACTATCTGATATATTGACATCCTATTGAAGATTAATCAGCACTAAAATAGCAGAGAAATATGATTGAAATTGAGACGTTTACCCCAAGCTTAGGGACCAAATGCAATGTTATGAAGAGCAATATAGTCTAAAATTTACCATCCTTTTTTGTTTGTTGTGCTGGGTTCACTCTCTTTTTGGTGGACTAATTAGTGTTAAAACCTAAAGTCAATAATGACAGCCAGTGATCATACATAAGTAAAAAACGATCAAAGAAAAAGAAAGGCCCGCAGAAAGAAACACAAAACATAAACCAAAAAAAGAAGAAAACAGAAGGATAATACTTAGAAAATAGAATAGATACTAGACTTCATAGCAAGACCTTCTTTTTCTTTTACCCTCTGTGAAATGCGATGGCAATTATTGGTATGCACACAGATAATTGATAATTATGTCAGTTACTTAGAAAGCTATGATTTTTATGATGTTTGTCTATGAAAGGGAAGAGAAAAGAGAGAAGAAAGAAAAAAGGTAGTCAATAACGTTTGAATTTGCAGTGTTAGCTAGGAGAAGACATAAACATTGTTTAAGGTGAAGCAATTCAATGTTCTTCCAGAAGGATAAACCTATCCCAAAGCCAAATGTGATACGGTTTCTCCTAAATTTGAGATTGAGTGAAGTTAGGCTTTCGGAAATGCACAATCTTAATTAGTTGTACGGCATTGGATGGTATAATTAAAGTGATACTGTTGGCCCGAGATCAGCAAGGGAAATGTGGGAGCAAAAGTAGTGCGGAGTAATTATTCTGTCCAAGAAGCAATTAATTATATGAAGAGCAAATCTATCCAGACTGCGCAAGCGTCCGCATCAAGTAATATATGGTCTGTTATAAGCCTCATATTATCGTTCTCAGGGAACAATTATGAGTCAATAACCCTAAAAGTGACATTTAAAAGAAATGTAATTAAGAAAAGGAAATAACTAGGAGCAAATATAAAGTAAAGAGCAATTCACTTCAAGGAGCAAATTCGTTCTCAAATCAAGGTTAGTCAATAAGCACTTGTCACCAGTTGATTAAATAGAGTTAAAGAATCTGACTGACTAAGAGCTGGGTTTTTCCCTTAAGTTTTATTGAACTTGCCTTGAAGAAAATTGGAAAATGTGGGATTTAGGAGCAATGAATAGAAAATACAGAGATCAGGAGTAACATTTGGGAAATAATAGTAACAACAGTAATAGAAGAGAGAGCAAAACAATAATTCTTTTTGAAGTTTTTATATTTGTCAAACAAGTAGCGAAAGAAAATAAAAAAAATGTAGACTCAAGGCTAAAAAGGCGTGGGTTTAGGTTGATATTTTCACCCTCTTGGTCGTTCCTAATATCTCATCCATTTTTAGAAACAAAATATGCTTGCAGCAAATGTCCTGGGTATGGAGGCAGAGTACTTTGTCTCCAAGTATTAACACTAAAGCAGTCTGGAGCAAAAGACCTTTTACACCAAACTACTTAAAGAGTCCTTCTCGTTTGAACTCAAGGGAGATTATGTTTGCCTTCTCAGAAGAGCACGACTGAAGGAATCACTAGCAAAAATGATGTACACATAACAATGCTCCTCCTTCTGGGTATTTCCCTGACCCGGAGCAAAATACCTTAAGATTTCTAATCTTGCTTCACACTACTTTGTGAAGGTTTCTTCGACCAAGTGGTCATGGGATGAGGTTGTGTAAGAACCCGCACCGTTAAATTAGGAATTTAAATAATTAATTATGAGTTTAGGAAAGAATTCCATAATTGACCTTGAATAATTATTAGAAGACTTAAATAATTACAGTAAGTGTTTAATAATATTGAAAGTCGCTTTTCTGACGAAAAATGCGGATACCGGTTCTGCTTCTCGGTATAAGTGCGTATCGGTGAAGTATCCCGAAAAATTATAAAGAGTATGTATATATTCCTAGAATAATATTCAGGACGGGAATATCAAGTTTG